ACAATGATCAAATTAAGTGAAATGCTTTAACTTTCAACTTATTTTTAGTATTTAGATTTCATTGATTCATTAATCGGAGTCTTTTGGGATGTGAATGCTGTTGGGAATAAATGGGTTTACCTCGGATGGGCTTCCACTTCAATATCAGGCATGGGATAAAGGTTTGAAAAGAAAGGAAACGAATAGATTCTCAAATTCAGGTCAACCTGACAATAAAAACGAGAAGCTGAGATGCGTTGTGATGAATCAGTCAAATGGATTATGGAAGGCGGTGGACTGCACGAAAAAATACCCATCTTTCTGTGCCACATCTTCAACTTATCCGCCTCCTCACAGATCATTCGGCTTTTAAACTCAGAGCTCTTTTTTCTTTTGTTGTTGTAACTTTGCGGTACATAAATTTTTGTCTAATCAAAGTTAGGTATTTTTGATTAGTGTTGAGAGTAGGGTTTCACCTGAAATTTTGGCTAAAAACGGGCAAGTCAAGTATTGGATAAATCCTCTACGTTTTTTTTGGGAGAGGGTCTCAAGCTCAACCAATTCCAAGGTAGAATGGCTTTTTCTTCTTTCACAAGACTATCAAATATTGAAGGTTTTTAAGAGTGAGTTTAGCTAGAAAACGAGAAAGAAAGAGGGAGACCAATGCGGCGGCTATAACTCGGAGGGTCAAGGGTTCGGTTCCGGCTCGCGACAAAATTTTTGACTCTTTTTTTTTGCAAAATTCTCAAAAATGAGTTTCTAAGGGTAATTTAATGTGGTATTTCAGATTGACTTTTGTTTGATAGTTGTTTGCGTGTCATCTGGATCAGCGTTTCGATGATCAGCAACCGATTCGCACTATCATTACTGTCTTTTTTCGAGAGAGATTTGCAGACAACGATTTTGAGCTCATTTTTTCTACAAACTTGTAGATGGATGTGTTTTGAATGCTCGAATGTTTGCGAATTAATGTTTAATAGTCGTCGAATAAACCTAGAATTTTTAATTCCAATTCAATTCATGCAATATCAAGAAATGGCTGTAACCGTTACACTGTTGTGTCGGGTTTGGTTTGTGGTCACAACACTGTTGTGTCTGGTTTGTTTTTTTCGAGGATCACGAAGGAGAATAGCATATGAAAGGCTAAATATTTAACATAAAAAAGACGAAAGATCTTTTTTCTGTCGCAACTGACTCTTTTACAAATTATCTTAGCAAGATGTCTACAAGACTAGCAAGATCCTCACCACGAGACCAATGAACAGAATTGCCAAATTGTGGTGCTCGTGATGAAGATGAGCAATGCGGTGCTGGAGATATACTCGAAGCCGATCACTGAGAAATTCAGAAACAATCCGGTGAGCAGATTGATCATCATCTGTAAAACTTTGACTTTTGTTTGGCAATAATGTTTAAAGCTAAACAGTTCACTCACCTGCACTCCAAGTTTGTACTCTTTACGGACATTCTTCGATTTTTGTTCACTTGTCAAATGGGATTGATTTTTGTTGAATGCTCGAATTCGCTGGTGCATCATCGAGAACACAATAATATCGAAAATTGTAGTAAGACCAAGATAAATGTAAGCTAGAATCCCCTAGAAATGACATTCAAAAAGCAGACCAACAAAATTAGCAACAGCTATTGGACAATAGATGGGAAATAGTGTTGTCACAATAACAGAAAGCGTTTCTACAATATATTCCACTTTTACTTAAAGTTTTGAAATAGATGCTTTACAAAAACTGACTGCATAATAATAGTCGAGAATTTCCCCACATCCTTCTTCCGTCCAAAAGTAGTCCATTCCATCATCCGTGTTGAACAATGCATGGCAGCCAGCTAAATACTTACCGTAAATGCTCCTGTATTACATTCATTTGAATACTGGTATATGTTAGAAAATCGTCTACGTTATCCGACGTTTGCCCTCGTTTCTGGTGAATATTTATGTATTCCGGGTCTTCTGCTGAATCGGAAAGACTTTCCAGCTCAGTTGGTTATATTTTAAATGATCATAGAAAATTATTGTCTCCAGATAATTTGAAGATAATTGTTTTTTTTGCATTCTATGAATCAAATTCTTGGCTTTTCACTTCAATAATGTTTTTTTATTCTTATTTTAACGCCTTCTATAGGAACTATTAAAGATAATAAAGATTGGTTTTTAGTAAACGCAAAAATAAACGCAGCTGCAGAAGTAAGGATGCAAACCTTACTTATTTAGCTTTGTCTTACTACTTAACAAACATTTCTTACTTATTTAGCACCTTATCATCGATTGGTTATATAATAGTTTTTATTATACTTCATGCAAGCGATAAACACTAGTTTCCTAGCTCAAGAGACCATGTGTGCAGTAGTTCTCTTAACTCAAAGGCCTATTGGCTAAACCAACACTACAACAATTCTCTTTAATTCACAACAACACAGCTATCTCCTTACGGATGGAGTGAATGAGCTTCAAAAAATGTTGTGCATTAGTCTATTTTATTTTCTTTATCTTTGAATTCATACGCATCATGTAGAGAACGTAGGCAGTCAGTGGACAGACGACCATAATTGCCCATTGTAAGTATTTGAGTCGTTCGAAGACCGCAAAAAAGCGTCCACCAAACGCCAGCGCCAGGAAGCGGTTGATGCCAAGGAATAGCTAAACAATGGTTAAGCTCTGGTTCCCAATATCTACTCAAATAGTTCCAGTTTTAATCTAGAAACGTCATGATTTTAAGAGTTTATCAAAAACCCACTTTTGGATTGTAGCCAAGTATTCCAGCACAAAAAGCCACGTCGCCGACGAGGTAATTGATCAATGGCTGTTGATCATTCACATTCCTTGAGAAATATTTTAATAAGTTGACTCACTTAAATCAATTAAACCAAATCCAATCAATTAAGCCACATCATGAAATCAAGTCACAACCAAATACAAACCAAATCGCAGCGGGCACAGCCCAAAAGAGGTGACACGCGTTGACCAGGGTGAGATTCGCCAAATCAACGAATAAATAATATCGTACTTGACCTAAACTGTTGTTGTTTAGAGAAGAACCCGATCTTGTTGCTAACCCTCTTGTAAAAAAGAGCTTCTTCGCACGACAAGAAACCCCCAAACACCAGAGGCCGTACCAAAAAGACCAAGCTGGAAAAATAAATTGAATTAAATTAACAAAAACAAAAGCAACTTTCTCATTTACACTGTTAAAAACAGTCTCACCAATGCCATCGAAATAATTTTAATAATATTTTCAATATCATTAACTTGTTCGGAGAGATCGGCATCCATTTTTGAAGCTTGTGACTTTTTTCGTTTCTTTGAAGTGGCTCTCAATTCTGAACATCGAGAAATTAGTGTGCGACTTTCATGGAAAGAAATTCGTGAAAGGTTTGTCATATATTTTTTTAGTGTTTTCTCACGATCGACAAAGCCCAAAACTACATCACTTCAAATCGAAACCATATGATTATTTACGACAAGGATCGACAACATAAACGAAATTTTATGGAATTGCTAAAGATTTTTGCAAAAATCAAGCTTAAGATAACGTTGCTCATCAGTTAGCATTAATAGTCGATATGCGTTGCTAAATATTACGTTGTTCTCAACATTCCCTATGCTCTCTAACAATCCTAACAAACAAAAAACTTTTCTGAGCGGTTGATGAGCTCAAATCCGCTGATCATTTTCAGAAAAATTATCAAAAATTCAACAAAATAACAAAAATCAAGTGCTATCATTTTTGCGTTTGCACTCGATGCACTTGTTTTGTGTTCCTTATCGAAACTTCTCTCGGCACATTTAACCAAATAGATCGTGAGATTTAAATTTCTAGAGATTTAGAGATTTAATCAAAATTGATCAATTAAACAGCTTAGTTCTAGTTTACAAACATGCCCTAGATCAAATTTGCATACGCAAGATACATTGAAAGTGTCTCCCTTGCTCACTTAGCTAAATATCTTCTAGCTTCGTGGGAAATCTCAAACAAAAGGGGCAGTTACGAAAAATCTACGAAGTAAAAGGGGCGGGGCTTCGTAGCTTTCGTAGCTACCCATTTGTTTGAATTTTTCCACAAAATTAAAAGAGCTAGAGCCCAGGGGAACACTTTCAAAGTATACTACACAATGTTTAATATGGAAATCGCCGAATATGCAGTCAATAATTGGGGGAACATGAAGATTGCGCCGCTGTGTAAAAGCAAAATTGCGCCGAACAAATGAATTCCACAAAACGAGCTCTGAAATTGGAAAGCGTTTTTCTCGTTCGGACTTCTTAAAAGAAATTGATGTGTCCAAAAATGACGTAAGAATCAAAAAAGAGCTAAATATTTAGTCAATCAAGAAAAGTAGCAAATTACCGTAAAAGCTCTAATAGAAGAACCCCTATAGGAGTCTAAGTTTACCCTCAAACAAACGCTCATATCTCGACACCAGTACGTTTGTTTCTGCGCGCTTGGGTATCAAATTAAAGTAGAGAGGATTGGTGATTTTTTGCAAGACAAAAGTGAGAAGACCGATTTTTCATCATTTTTCAATCATTTTGTTCTAAGCGCTGGTTAATGCTAAAAATATGTGTTATATTGTTAATTTGATACCCAAACGCGCAGAAACAAACGTACTGGTGTCGAGATATGAGTGCTTGTTTGAGAGTAAACTTAGACTACGCGACGCTCCTATAGGGGGTTCTTCTATTAAACCTTCCACGGTATCTGCTCTCTGAATATCTTATGGTTTAGACTTTAATCTCAACATATTCAATCAAATATGAAAAGGGAAAGAAGGCGGTTAACTTTCGAGCAGTCGCTTTCAAAAAGTTTTCAAAAGACCCGAGTTTATATTATTTTGGAAAAACACAGCTTTTGCTTCCAAGCATCTAAAAGTTCGTTAAAAGTTTAGGTAGAGTTAAAAATATTCTCTCAATTTTACCACCCTCAACACACAAACTCTCAATTCGATTTCTTCCTTGCGTTCTTTCTTTTTTTGTTGATTGTTCAATAATTCTAATGCTTTCTTTTTAGGAAATGAGGGTGTTTGAATCGCTCAACTGCATTGTCTGCAAGCAACCGTGTAAGTTTTTGCTTTTCAGTTATGGATTTCGAAATAATCTAGATTTTAAAGCGTAAATAAAGTGGTTTTTGTTTGATTTGCCAATCTTTTAGTTGCTCGAGCTGCTAATCAACCTCGATCTCCACTTCAGTTGGGCTGTGGATTGGCCATGTGCGATGAGTGTTTCATGAAAGAGTTTGATACGGACGAAAAAGAAAGAAAACATCAATGTGGAAATCCTGACTGTTTCAAGAACGACGACTTTGCCTACTTTTTGATTGGTGAGTTTTATTCTGATTTTTGTTTTGAGTAAAAGCAGATTAGTCAATCGAATTATTTTAGATGTTTTGTCACAAGAAACCGCTTTGGTGTTTACTCCAATGGGATATTTGCTTGTGAAGGTTGGATTTGGGATTTACAAATCATAGTGATTCTTTTAGCCTTTCAAAATTCCGGAATGTCCAATTTGTCATGATGAATGTAAGTTTGATGACTTGCTACATTTTTTTTTTGCTTCAGATTCTGATGAAATTGATGCGAAGAAATCGTTTGCTCTTAAATGTAGGCATATCATTTGCACGGAATGCTGTTTGAAGACAAGAAGTTCTAATAAAACAACATGTCCAACTTGTCGCGTTCATACCTATACGTATGTCAACAAGCAGAAAGATCGATTCCATGGTAGATGAATTCTCTTTATATTCACTAATTCTTCTTTAGACTTTCTAAATGAGCTGCCCCAAATGACTCGACAAATGGGGGCAATGATGAAAGCGCATGCTTTCATCATTACCTGTAACGAATGCCACAAAAAGGTGTGTCTACTTAAATTGATTTCTATAGAAGTATTTTAGAATATTGTCGACGAAATGTTTTCTTGCGGTGAATGTGGTTTTGAAGTAAGCTATTGTTAATATTGATTAAGCCCTTTTGTATTTACAGATTTGTGGCGCTTGTGCTTACAAAAAACATCGTTCGCATGAAGCCATTCCGTTATTGGAAAAGCAGGTATCTTTTGCACTTTATTGTTGGTTTGAATTTGAAAGTCGTGCCGTATTAATTTCATGTGTTTAGGCTAACCAAATGTTGATGGAACTTCAACAAGAGTCAAGAAATGTCATCAAGACGTACAAGGATTTGGTTCCTGAACTACACCAGGGACTTCTCGAGGGCATTGACATCTTTGAAATGGCATTTTTATCAAATAAAACCAATTGAAGTCGATATTTCTTTAGAAATTGCTTTCCAAAGAAGAAACTCTCAAGGGCGCTCCAAATTTGGCCGATTTACAGGAGAAACACGAGTCATTCACGTAAGTTTTCAGATTTCGAAACGAAACATTTGTTTTTTAGAAAAATTAAGTCCAAGTTTGAGTCATCCGCTGAAAATTACTTGCCTCATTTGCGCAGATTCGATGCTGAGGTCAAGGTGAGTTGATAGGGGTTTAAAAAGGATTTAATTTAATGTGTTTAGCAATTGATTCAAACCCTCAGCGAGACCTCTGATATCTAGGAAATCCGAATACAATTTTAATGGAAAACTTGTGATTAGTAATTATTTTATTTTGCGAATAAAGTGCCGAATAAAGCTTACTGATCCTTATCATTGGAACCCGTCAGCTGTCAACTATTTACAAAGGCTCACAATGCAATTGATCGTATCTAAGCATCACCGAATTTCAGTTCATCACTCCACATTTCAAGCCGAGAAGCTAGTCGGGTTTCTCTACAAGCATTGCAATCATGGGTTGCTCAATTTTCGCGTTGGTCAGTGTGGTCTTCACCAGTTCGGCCCACAAAGAGATTTGCGTTGGGAGCGTTTTAGAATGTCAGGTAGGGTTTTGTGGTCAAAAACTATTAATATGACAAGCTAACAAGCTGTAGAAGATATTTGTTTTAGAATTACTTCGACACGTCGATCTCAAAAGATTTCTCGCAAGAGCCACGTCTTCTCGTGTTCCGAAATAGACCCATAATCTACGTTGGTATCGCTTTCGTGGCCCCTTTTTCTCGGTGGCTATTCTAACGTTTGTATTCTTAAAGCACCTCATTATAAAAGCGCGAAAATAGCTTCTCGAAAATAAATCTGTGTCGAAGAAAGTGATCGAGATGCAGAACTACTTCTCGTTGATTTATTTTCTCCAGGCTTCTTTTTCAAACACCGATTCAAATTTCCAAAGCTGGGAGGCTAGACAAAGCTGACTGTCACATTTTTGACTAGAAATTAATGATTAGTGAGGCTCAATAATTGTTGATTTATCAGGTGTTAAACAGATTGATTGGACTGTTACAGTGGTGGAAAAAAGTTACCGAAAAGAAAATTCAGTGAGCTAGACAAAGGGGGACAAACTTCTTGCACAGCACTTTACATACATTGCTCTTGTCCGTTTCCCGGGACTTTTTGAATGTTTCTCGTCTTTTATTTATTTTGTTTAACGTACTGTTTGTTTACGTATTTTTAATAGTAATTTATTATCAACAAAGACAGATCACAATTATCTAAAGCCAAAAAATACTGAAATCATAAGTTTAAGCAATAGAATAGACAATACAAACTTGAATTAAGAGCCTGTAAAACACAAGCAATGATGGCTAAATAGATGAACGAACAAATAGACAATAACTTAGAGTTAAAGTATAAAGTATAATGGATATCATTGGAAAATACAACAAGAATCTGCAAAATGATTATGGCAGAAATTTTCCGAAGCCGACTCTGGTCAAAAATCTCCACCATTCACTGTGATCCAAGACTGATAACATTGTTATTTTCTTCAATACATTTGCTTTCTTTCACAATACATTCTAGCTCATAGATGTTATTATTTTTGACTTACTCCGTTTTGACTAGACATGAGCCTGTAACAGCTCGCAGTTTCAGCGCAACAGGTCATCCTGGGTCGGGCCAAGTTAAATGTATTCATTGTACTAAAATTTTAATATTAAACCAATAAAACAAGTGAAAAAGGCTAAACATACTCTGGCTATTGCCCGGGTGTAGATGTCTCGAGATGGTAATGGAGGACACGAACCATCCTGTTGGTTGTTGATCCAAACTCGAAATCCTTCAGCGAATATTTCCTGCTTGCTGATCATGATTCGGGTAGAACGAAATGGCCAAGAATTAATTAATAGGCCATCAATAGGCCTCCGATCGCTCAATTCCCATTTCCATCAACGTCGAATTCCATGAGTTAAATGTGCAACCAGGAACTGGGAAACTTTTCCAGTATCAACGATAATGATATCTCGTCTAGTTTCCAAATGTTGATTGATTACAACCAGTTACGCATTGCACTCACCAAGCTCTGTACGATGTCTTCAAAATGAACGAAGTCCACCCCTCGTCCACTTCAATAAATCACATCTCAACTTGAATTTTTCCTTTGATGCAAACAGGGAGAAGTACAGAGTGACGAGGAAACACCAATTTATTCTATTAGGTTGTCCAGTTATAAATGCGCGTTTTTAAGATAACAACTCTTTATTTCAAAACCAACAGTTTAACAGCTCAATCAACAATATATTCACCATTTGTTAACATTATTTGTTTCCATCTTCCATGCAAAGAATGAATTCCCTCCGCGTAAAAATTGGCTTGTTTTGAGGCAAAGAAGTCGGCTATCCATTTTTCGACCTCTTGAACTTCTTTGGACTTGTTTCCGGCCAAGTGGCTTCGCATTGAGCGAAATAAATGGTAATCCGAAGGAGAAATATCCGGAGAATATGGCGGATGCGTGAGAGTTTCCCAGCCCAACTCTTCGAGTTTTTCCTGAACAATCTTTGCAACGTGTGGACGGGCGTTATCTTGAACTTTATGTTTGAAGGATCAAGGCCTTTTTGTAGCAATACATTGTTCACTCGTTCCAATTGTTGTGCATACGTTTCAACCGTGATTGTTTGCCCAGGTTTAAGCAGCTCAAAATACCCAATGCCTTGGGAATTCCACCAGACAGTAGGCATTACTTTCTTGTCAAGGAAGTCGGGTTTTGGTGTTGGTATTGGCTCCACACCAGGTTCTAGCCTTTGCCGTTTTCGTGTAGAATTATCATATTGAATCCATTTTTCATCGCAAGTAAGGATTTCATCGTAAAACCCAGTATTTTTTTTGGCAAACGAAGAAGAATACCCGCCATAGTGACACGAGTAGCTTTATTGGCATTGCTGAGAAGATGAGGACCCATTTCCCTTGTCGGCTTGTTTTCCCCAATTGATTTAAATGCTCGGAAATGGTTTGAGGGCTTACTCTAAATATTTCTGCAAGTTCATGCGTCGTTTGTCGAGGATCCATTTCTATCGCCTGCTTCAGTAGTGCATTATCGATCGCAGGAGGTCGTCGTTGGTGGTCTTCGTCTTCCAAAGATTCATTTCCTTCTCGAAATCGTTGAAACCATCGGCGACCGAAATAGCATCTTCGCCAAATACTTTGCAGAGATCTCGATGGGATTCAACGGCATTTTTGCCCAATTTGAAGTCATAACAAAGACTGGCACGATGACGAAACTTCGTCTCGGTCATTTAAACACGGAAATTAAATCAAAAATGAATTAGTTTAACGTCAAAAACACGAAAAGTTGTAATAAATAAGAAACCTTGAACAACATATAGAGAATAGGGTTTGATAAAATTGTATAGCCCTAAGGTAAGCTGTTCAAGAGCAGGCGCGCATTCATAACTGGACAACCTAATAGAAGTCGCTATCTACACTTCCTCGACTCAAAATGGAAGAACATATCGCTGGTTAAAGGGGTTGTTCTAAGAACTCGGCTGGAAGTTCACTCGCTGGCTCCGAGTGGGTTATCCACATCCCAACTTTGGTGTTGCTGCACCCCAGTAACAATAGAGGAATAACAAACAAAGAGAAAACTTTTTGCATTGTCAAAAACGATGTTGAATGGTTCTTTTTACGTCAATTGACTATTTTAGCCAGTATTGCCTTATTAAAAAAATCAATTAGCACTTGATAGCGCTTGAAGCAAAAAATTTTTTGGTACTAACATTTTATTTTAGCAAAAACTGGGCGCGTTCAAAAAAATCATTTGCCTTAGCGACTACGCGATTGTACGTCATTATGGGGGCGCTACTATTACAGGTAGTGCGCATATTATTTTCGTAAACAGCTTTTGCCACCAAACACCCAAAAGTTTTGCATCATAGAAATTCTTCAAAACATTTTATAAATTCGTCAATTTCACCAGCCAAAAGGCACAAACTCTCGATTTGGTCGATTTTTCTCTTGTTTTGTTGATTCTTCAATGATTAAAAGAGCTTTTATTTTAGAGAATGAGGGTATTCGAATCGCTCAACTGCATTGCTTGTAAGGAACCGTGTAAGTTTCGCTTTTCAGTAATGAATTGCAAAATTAGATTTTTAAAGCGTAAATAAAGTGGTTTTTGTTTTATTTGCCAATCTTTTAGTTGCTCGAGTTGCCAATCAACCTCGATCTCCACGACATTTGTATTGTGGATTGGCCATGTGCAATGAATGTTTCGAGAAAGAGGAGACGTTGGAACAAGAAAAGAGAAATCATCGATGTAAACATGGTTTTTGTTTTAATCACCCAAACTTTGCCTACTTTTTGATTGGTGAGCTTTATTCTGATTTTTTCTTTGAGTAAAAACTGATTAATCAATCGTATTATTTTTAGATGTTTTGTCACAAGAAAGCGCTTTGGTGTTTACTCCAATGGGATATTTGCTTGTGAAGGTTGGATTTGGGATTTACAAATTATAGTGATTCTTTTAGCCTTTCAAAATTCCGGAATGTTCAATTTGTCATGACGAATGTGAGTTTGACGGCTTGCTACATTTTTTTGCTTTAGATTCGAATGAAATTGAGGCGAAGAAATCGTTGGCTCTTCGGTGCGGCCATAATATTTGTACGGAATGCTATTTGAAGACAAGAAGTGCTAATAAAACAACATGTCCAACTTGTCGCGATGATACCTATTCTGATGCCAACAAACAGAGAGATCGATTTCATGGTAGATGAATTCTCTTTGCATTCACTAATCTTTATTTGGACTTTCTAAATGAGCTGCCCGAAATGACTCGACAAATGGAGGCAATGATGAATGCTGCGAAAAATATCAAAGATGAATGTAGCTGCAATGAATGCCACGAAAAGGTATGACTTCTTGAATTGATTTCTAGATAGATATTTTAGAATATTATCGACAAGATGTTTTACTGTAGCGCATGTAGCTTTGAAGTGAGTGATTGCTAATATTGAATAAACACTTTTTGATTTTTAGGTTTGTGGGGCTTGTGCTTACGTGAAACATCATTTGCACGGAGCCACTCCGTTATTGAAGAAAAAGGTATATTTTGTATCTTATTGTTAGTTTTGTTTGTTTGAAATTGAAAAAACACGCCTTATTAATTTCATTTATTTAGGCTAACCAAATGTTAACGGGACTTCAGCAAAAGTCAAGAAATGTCATCAAGACGTGCAAGTATGTGGTTCCTGAATTGCACAAGGGACTTTTTGAGAGCATTGACATTTTTGAAACGGTATTTTTATCAAATAAAACCATTTGAAGTCGATACTTCTTTAGAAATTGCTTTCGAAAGAGGAAACTCTCAAGGACGCATCAACTTTTGCCGATTTACGGGAGAAACATGAATCATTCACGTAAATTTTAATATTTTAAAACAACACGTTTGTTCTTTAGAAAGATCAAGTCCAAATTTGAGTCATCTGCTGAGAATTACTTGCCTCATTTGCGCAAATTCGACAAAGAAGTTAAGGTGAGTTGAATGGGTTTTAAAAGAATTGCAATTATTTGTTTAGGAATTGATTCAAACTCTCGACGAGACTCCTGATATCAAGAAATCCAAATAGAAAATTTTACGTAAGCTTTTGATTGTTTATTTTTTTTGTTTCAAATAAAACCTTTAAATAATTTTGATCTAATGAAAACATAAAAAAGCAATTTCATATTGTTAAGGGTTTGATTTAATGGAAAAAAAGATTGGCTAAATTGGGACTTCTTTATCTATAGAGCTTCAGGAGTTTTAACATTTGAAGTAAGATTCGAAATTTGAGTGCGCTTTTCCCATTTAGAGCTCGTTACTGAAATCGATGTGCACAATAATGTGTGTATAAATAAAAATGATGCTCTTTGTGGTTGATGAGCTGAAATTTGTTTGAAGACAATTCTAAAAGTGATGAGCACCGGAGTTTTCTATTGTACAATCGACTCGGGATTCATCGTGCTTCGCCCATTCATGTACCAATGGCTCATGGGAATTCTCGAAGTGCTAGCGAGCTAACGATGGGCCCCATGTCAATTCATCAAAATTTTTAAGAGACGGGTCATGATAGAACCACATTCTTAAGCTTTGAAACTAAAAAATTTTCAAAAAATGATTGTGTTTGATGATGCTCGATCGTTAAAACGGCTAGAAACTCACGGGGAAGTGGAAAAATTTTGTTTCCCGGTTTTGAAAAGCCAAAAATTTTAATTTACGACCTTCGACCTCCATTGTGAACACAAAAAGCGCTGAAAATAGGATCCGCTTCGTGGCAGGCACTATTGTGTTCATTTCCTCATGCAGGTTCACGCGTATTAAGAACACCAGAAATATATATATAAAAGACCGAGCAGAGTTCGAAAATTTATCCATGCAAATGCTCTCTCAACTCATTCTATATCTTCTGGTAGCTGGTAGGTCATCCTTATTTATTAGGAATATACATTGCAATTTTAACCAATTTTGTAACCAATTTTACTACCAAGAATAAATAATTGCATTTTGGACCAATTGATCATTTTACCTTAAAAAGATCTTTGAAAATTGAATATTTCGAAGGTTTAGGTGCAGGGTTTCCAATAGAATAGGTAAATACGGTAAAAAAACCTTGCATAAACTGTTTCAACTGCAAATTCCAGTGTCCACAGTGGCCTCTACACTGCCTGAATGTACGAAATGTCCGGCTGGAGGTGAGTCGTTAAATAAAGGCTAACAGAGTGGATTATGTATGGTAACTTGGTTATTACATGAGTGGAGACAATGAGTGGATTTGCTTTCAGAAATAAATTTAATGGAAAAGCACCTTCATAGAAAAATACAAACTTATCTCAATAGTAAAACACTTCATCGTAAGTACATTCGGGCAGCCGATTAGGTTGGCCGATAAATCTTTAGACACTTTTTTTTCTACTAGTGTTCATAAAGGACAAATTCACCAATTCACCTACGGTTTGCTCCAAATAAAAGATGTTTAGCATTCATTTTTCTATCATTTCAAGCCAATTTGAGTCTGTTTCCAAGTCAATTCGAGTGCAAAAACTAGTTTTTTTTTCGTAAAATTCAATAAAAAGCTCTACAAAGAAATCGGCTGAACAGATTATCGTGAAAATTCGGCTATATACCTAACTTTTTGCGCTCTATCTTTTATCTAATGACAGCAACATAGGTTTCTGTGGACCAAAGCACCTAAATTGCGTCTTCGGGTTGTCGCCTTTTTTGACTACCCGACGTCAACTTTGACTACCCCATAAAAAACATAGACAAAGCATTTTCATAAAATTCGAACGTTATTTTGTAGAAAAATAGTAGACCTTTCTAATAGAGCCAATTGTAGATGAATTGGTGAATTTTTCATTTATAAACGCTAGTAGAAAAATGTCTGAAGACTTATCGGCGAACCTAATAATACGGTAGTTGTGCTGCCTAAAAAACAAGTTTCAGGCTTTTGGTCGAATTGGAAAGACTACACGAGCTGCTCGGCCACCTGTGGGTTGAACGGGCAAAAGGTGCAGACAAGAACGTGCACTTCGTGGTCCAAGGGATGTCCGTGCACGTGAGTTTTCGATAGATAAGTATCACCACAGTTTTTCTAACGAGTTGGACTATTGGATCTCAAATATCACCAGATCTCAGAGAAAAACAAATCAATTTTACTAACGCTATCGTTTTACTATGCGCTTTCGCTTTTCGAAAATCGGCGTTCCAGTGGCTTCGCATCACGAGTTCTTCCATGTGCACCTGGTGCGTGTGTTGCCCCGGGACCTGCTTGTAAATCCCCCTACACACAAGTCAGTTTTGATTTTTTCTTCTTACCTTCTTTTAGTTCTTATTGTATACTAATATCTCCAATTTTAACCCTGCAAACGTCACACTCATTTCCAGTACACAAACAGCGCCACGGGGAAGAAACTCTGCGGAAACGTGTCAAGAACGGACAACTATGTGGCGCCGAAATGTGCCCTAAAAAGTTTGTCTTTTTCTTCTCTTTTCTATAAAAAGAATGTTTCAGAAGTGTTCAATACATGCCCGTGTCCAGCAGCTGGTGAGTGCACTAAAAGAAAGCAGCGCTCTAGCAATAAGCTTTCAAAACAAATTTAACAAAAATTAATAGTGACTCAACAGCCAATCGCTAAATATCTTGTAGCTATGTCGACTTTTCAGGTCTCTGGACCGAGTGGTCCAACGTTGGCTCGTGCAACGCCACTTGTGGTCTTTGCGGAACCGTCAAACAAACGAGAACATGTCGATCGTCGTCCTATGGCTGTCCATGCCCGTGAGTTTCATATTCTTTTGCGTTTAAGTGAACTTCTAAGACAGATTTTCAAAAAAAATAAAGCCAGTCAAAAAGAAAAAAAAGCAACATTACCAATACAACTTCTAGCGGAGCGAAAACCCAAAATGTCCACTGTCAGAAAACGCCATGTACCGGAAACACGTGCTGTAACGGGAACAAAGTGGTGAGTGAATTGGAGGATGAAAGTTATGAACTTACAAATTCTACACATGTTTATGATTGTTATTACCGTTTGATCTACACAATTTTACAAGTTTGGGAATAATAACCGGAAAGGAAACTGATTTCTGTGTTTTCAGGTGAAAATCTTGGGAACAAATCCGGTTGTATACCAATGTGGAATGCAGCTGCCACCCTATGAACTACTCCAGCTGCCCACATGTTCGAAGGTTGTCCGATGGGCCTTCCTTTGTAATATGTAGTTTTAGACGACAACCAAAGCCACAACAAAGGCAACCACAGCTCCGAAAAGTAAGCACAAAAATAAAGCTAACAAAGCCGATGTTATTAAATCTAATATATTTAAAAGAGCAGTGTCTGTCCGTCTGTCCGTCTTTACGCAACTTTCATCTCGAGAATGGGAGAAGCTAGAGCTCCAAAAACAACACCCTTATAGGTTTTTCGTCTAATCAAAAATGAAAAGACTTGATGTTTGAAATTAAGAAAAACTTTTAAGATTGCAAATCGTGCACGCTGGCTCAGTTGAACGCGTTGAACGGAAACGGAAACGGTTTCTACACTCAAGGGGCAGTTATGTAAGTGCTAAAAATCATTATTTCTCAAGTTGTTCTATCCAATTGCATTCTCAGTATTAGAATCTATAGAATTTATTAGAACATTAGAAAATCTATAAGATTTTGTTAAGAAAACTTTTTTCAGAGTTGATGGTGTGACGGGTTGTAACATCTGTGGTTGGAGCTGTAACACGACCACTTCGATGGTAAAGCTTTGCTCGCTTTAGAGTGTGTGCATCTCTAGTAATGCACTTTTTAAGGGTTATCGGACATTTGATATGCGCCGGGCCTTTTGCCATTGGCAATCTAACTTTGAGTTCAAATAGCTTTTTGTTGGGCTCTCCGATTTAAATATCCAATTTATATTCAAGCCAAGTCTTTCTCTGTCGATTGGTCAAAAACTATTTCGATTGGACAGCTCAACACGAAGATATTTGAGCTCAAAGCTAAATTACCAATGGCGTTTTAGAATGTACATTACTTGACGCTTTACTAAAGTAGAAAATTGCATATGCAAATTTACTTGAGAAGAACACACTCTATCCCGCTTCATGGCGCTCTAATGATGTCTTCACTTAGGTCAACTTCAAAGTCGTGGGAACTGATCTGACGACGGTGATCGTCAACGACAATACTCATTGTGGCTATGTACTTAAGTTTGGTAACCTCAACAATCAACGATTTAGATCAACAACGACAATGATGGACGCTATCAGTGCTCGGCGACTGGTGTGTGGCAATTCAGGACGGTTCGTGTGTGCATGTAAACAAAAAAAAGTCGAATTCAGAATGCTGGTGTGCTGAAAAACATGGGCAAGTACACGTGCTCAAAGGGTGCCGCTTGTACAACAACCACGAAAACGACAACAAAAGCAACAACCACCACAAAGACAACCACTAAAGCAACCACCACGACCGCGAAAAGTGAGCTTTTAACCCATTCGAAACCGCAGCGTTTTTTCTTTTTTTTCGTCTACGGACCAAGCCTTTTTTTGACATTTTTGACTCCGAAGCAGTTTATTTATGGTTGGAAAAATGAAACAGAGTCTCCTACACCATTTATTTTTGATGAAGATTTGACTTCAGTACTTTTCAAGATCCTATCGATTATTGTTCTTATTTTTTCGACGACAATATTTTAGTAGGTAAATCTAATAAACATGGAAAAAGGATAACAAACTGGCAGGATTTCGACGCAAAATCTTTCAAGCTTTTCCTGGCTTCAAATGGGAATCGTCAAAATACCGAGAATTCGTGACTACTGGAGTAGCAGGCCTGGATTAGGAGGATTTCCCCACATGTCCCACATTATGTCAAGAGCAAAATTTGAATCTATTCTTCGAAACCTGCGTTTTTGTGATAATGAACTGGATTCTGCAGGAGATCGGCTTTTTAAGATTAAAGCTATTATGGAACATTTCAATGCAAAACCAGAGACTGCATTGATTCCGGGTAAATATGAAACATCTTTTTTGTCCACGTAATTTGTAGATCTGCTAACAATTGGAATATACATGTAATGCTGAAAAGCAGCAAAAAAAAGCAATTAATTGAATGAAAATAGCTCAATTAGAGCTGCAGCGAATAATCGCTGCAGCGGTCCGTTCCTGAGTTTTTGTTGCAGCGATTATTCGCTGCAGAAGTTTTGAATGGGTTAAATAAGTACATACTGGTTTATTCAACCAATCCAAGCAATCAATCACAATACAGAAACAAATCCTATTGAAACCTTAACCTAAACTACCTAATGCCATAACAGAACTCCAAATTCTTAACTTAAGCATAACTCTTAAAAGTCAATGGACGTTATTTTGTGGAGTGACGCTGCTGGTCAATGAAAGGAAATAATCGTTTTTAATGGCTGCAGTTTATATGCAAGCCAACCCGTAGTTTAATTTCAACGGGCACGGTGCATTACATTGCTCTGCGCTTGGGATAACTCCAAACCTGCGACTAACCGAGCCCGACGTTGCTTAACTTGGCAGATCGGACGGGATGCCGCGTTTCAACGCGGCGTGAACGTAAACCAGAACTAGATTTAAGAAACTGGAAAAATAGAGGTACAGTTGTTCACGTAGTGTTACACTCAAAGAAGCGATTCATCTATCTCTCTCGAAAAATATCTTTCCTTCATCCTTGCAAATGCAAAAAATAAAAATTCTGATTTTCTAAATCTTTTACTTCTCTAATTCTCTAATTCTCTAAGTTCTTCAGATTGCAATTCGTGTACGATGGCCGAACTAAACGCGTTGAATGGAAATGGAGACGGTTTCTATATTCAAGGAGCCATCCAGTGAGTCCTACATTTATAAATTCATATAAGGTTAACTTTAGAACGCTAGATAATTACAAAGCCATTCACTTATTTTCAGAGTTGATGGTGTGTCGGGTTGTAACATCTGTGGTTGGAGCTGTAACACGACCACTTCGATGGTAAGTTCTTTGATTCAACATTTTTCAAGGAAATATTAAGGTTAACTACCAAGTCCTGGGCACTGATATGTCGACAGTGATTGTCGATGACAACACACATTGTGGCTATGTAAGTTTCTATCTCTTTTTATATCTTTTATTCTTGCCGTAAGTGTAAGTCAACTGCAACTTGACGGACACTATTTAGATCAACAACGATAATGACGGACGGTATGAATGCTCGAACACTGGTGTGTGGCAATTCAAAACGGTGAGTATGGCCATAATACATATCGGAAATCGTTTGAAGTTCAATGTGATCGGTCTGAATTCAGTCTGCTGGTGTGTCAACCGATATGGGCAAGTACACGTGCTCAAAGGGTGTCCCTTGCTGTCAATCATGTACTTTGGCACAGCTGAATGCGTTGAATGGAAATGGAGACGGCTTCTATATTCAAGGAGATGTCATGTGAGTGGGAATCTGAATCATTAATTAATTTGAATCTTTTACTTCTTTGAATCTCTTTATATGAACCATTAACTAACTTGAATTTGAATGCAAAATGTGATGAGTGAATATTTTAGCGTTGACGGCACCTCGAACTGCAACATTTGCGGTTGGAGCTGTAACACGACTACTTCGATGGTAATTTTTTCGTTCAAAACTTTACTAACTTGTTGACTTGTTACTAACTACTAACACTTTACTAACTAACTTACTAACTAGTTAGTAAAGCTTAAGTTTAGGGAAGTGACAAGAAAACTAGCTAGTAAAGCCTAGGTTTAGGGAAGTGACAAGAGACTAATTTTAAGGTTAACTACCAAGTCTTGGGCACAGATCTGACAACAGTGATCGCCAATGATGACACACATTGTGGCTATGTAAGTTCTTATCTTTTTCTTCTTGTTGTAAGAAACTCAACTCCAGACACATTTTAGATCAACAATGACAATGATGGACGATATCAATGCTCAAGCAATGGTGCCTGGCAATTCAAGACGGTAAACTTTTTTGTGAAAGCTTTCATTTCCAAAAACCTAAATTCAGGCTGCTGGTGTGTATACCGATATGGGCAAGTACACATGCTCAAAGGGTGCCGCTTGCTGATAAAAACCTGTACTTCACTTCAATTAACGTGCCAACAAAACTTCTTTATCTTTGATTCTTGTTTTATTGTAGGCTCACTAATATCTTATCTTATCTTATCTTTGATTCTTGTTTTATTGTATGCTCACTAATAAACGCTTTAATAAAAGGTCAACATTGTCAACAATAAAAATAAAATGTCAAATGTTAATGTAATTTTGGTTTTCATCAAATAACTAGTTCTTAATCTAGTTAATCTAGCGAAAAATCCAAAAAAAGTACTAAAATCACGATCAAAAACTAAAAGCTCTACAACCTCTCTTGTAGCCGTGTGTAACTTTATAAACTAGCAAAATTCCGTGCGAATTCTCTCACAGTTCCGGACTTATTGCAAACTTTAGAAACTAAATTGGTGTTGTTGAAACTGTTTCTTGGCTCAAGTACTCATTTTTCTCTAGATTGAATGGACGGTGTATTCGAATGATTTTTTCATTCCCCCCAATATGACAGATTCCATTTCTACAGAGAATCTTATCAAAATTGCTGCTATGGCTATAGTAAGTGCAGGAAATAAGGGTCAAAATTAATACAAAACAACAAAATAACCATTAAATACAACGAAAAAGTTGCGCTTTTGAAAAGGTAAAATTGTTAGTTAACCAGCCGACCTGCCTAACGACGGGTTCTTCTGGCTGGGTGTTTTGGGGCAGATAAACAAAAAAACAGATTTCTTTTTAGAATTCTAAAAAGAAAATCTATTTACAAAACCAGTAGCGGCTTTTCCTTCCGAAAACATTTCCAACGACCTTCCAAAAACATGTTTGCATAATAATTCAGCTCTTCCCCACAACCCGGCTTTAGCCAAAAAAATAACGATCATCGGTGATAAACTTGGCACGACAACCAGCTAAATCATTTGATTTTCAAAAAACCAGTCAAAAAAATCAGCCTAACGGCAGGTTTTTCTGACTGGGTGTTTTGTTTTTGTTTGTTTTTGCCTAGCGCATAGTTTGATCTCTCAGTTAAAGAGCCCCCTCCTCTCCCCTTCTGCGCCCTCTTCGAGATCCCTGTAACAATGCTGGGTTCTATCTCTTAATCCTTTAAAGCAATATCGGAACAAACCCTGATACCCTCCGAAGGACCATCGACACCTATCTTGGGACGCTCGGCGCGACTAACGTAAAGCCGAGCGCCCCTCCGAGATCCCTGTAACAATAGCTTCGCTGCGAAGCAACTCAAACTTGCATACTTCAACTCCATGCTTGAAAACATTTAAAACAAAAAAGTTTGGAACGGGCGGGAATCGAACCCAACACCCCCTTAGAGCAGTCGTTTGTAGACGGCTAAGTGGTTTTTTGATTTTTTATGGGTTTTGAAAATGAAAACTTGTTTTGACCAAAAAGTATGTACCTATTCATTTTTAATTCCCTATCGATCAAAAAAAAGTTTGTCGAAATAGGTTCATGTGGGGTCGAGATCCAGAGTGTGACAGACAGACGGACGCTTCTCTTTTATATAGTAAATAAAGGGCGCAACTTTTTCGCTGTATTTATTGATTTTTTTGGTTGCGCACAACTTTTTTTTGTCTAACGTCTGTTTCTTTTATTATTTCGTAGTTTAACTTTGTATACAACGATTCTTATTAATGCTTATTTATTTCCAATACTTTTCATCTACAGATGGGCTTCTTTGGTACTTGCCACGCAATCTTGGGTCTAACTGTCGTTTGGAGAAACTCGTATTTACAAGGTTTTCGCATATTTAGAACCTTTTCAATATTTTTCATATAGGATTGGTTAAACTCTATTTGTTGATCGATTTAACAAATCTCTTCTTCGTTAATTTCTGCCATATATCGTGGGCGGTGCCCAGCTCGATTTGGTTGGCTTTTTTGAGTAGCAAGGGAATCGTACAATTATTTCTGCTAAAAGTTAAATAAAACTTTAAAACCTGAATTTTGAAAACAATAAATCAACAAATTTCAACAAAATCAACAAATTTTTCGTTTAAGGTCTTTAAACGAAAAGTTTCCACTGTCGGACTCTGTCATCTCGGCTACAGCACTTACCGCAATTGTGTTAAGCTATAGTCCAAAGGTCAGCAATTTCTGAGAAACAAATATCACAAATAGATTATATAATATATATATGTCATAGTCGTTTACGAAATTCAGCCGTTTAGGAATGACGGTGTTTCCGGGCATCAATCAAAAAGTCGTCAACATAAAAAATGTTCATAATGCATATATTTTATGATAAATTTTTGAAATTAGCTCATTTGGTTCGGTAGAAAATTTTTTTTGAGCTCCCCAAAGTTTAGGTTCAAAAATGCCTTAAAATGGTTATAAAAAATTGTCTACTCAGCCAAGAAAACTTGACTAATAGCTTATTTTGTAGCCAATTTGATGTAGTTTCTTAAAGTAAAGCTACATTGGACATTTGTTTTTCAAAACTAGGAGAAAGAGGGCGAAGAACGACTTCAGTTGAACACGGTCGCCGTTTTCTCATTTGAGAATTGCCGTGAAATTGTTTCTCGCCCTTTTTCTCCTACTTTCAACGAACAATTGTTTGCGATGGCTTTAATTTATAGAATCTACATCAAATTGGCTACAAAATAAGCTATTGGTCAAGTTTTCTTGGCTGAGTAGACAATTTGTTATAGTCATTTTAAGGCATTTTTCCCCTAAACTTTGGGGCTCAAAAAATTTTTCTGCCGAACCAAATGGGCTGATTTCAAAAATTTATCGTAAAAGTATGTATTATGAACATTTTTTATGTTGACGACTTTTTGATTGGATGTCCGGAAACACTGTCATTCGTAAACGGTTACGACATATATATTCATCGTTTCCATTCAGCTATTCCTTGGCATCAATCGCTTTTCGGCCTTAGCCTTTGATGGTCGCTTTTTCAAACATTTCGAAAAGCTGCGTTACTTCCAGTATTTTGTTATGCTATTCGTTCCACTCACCGCCTTTATTCTCTACCTCATTCGTAATATTTGATAATTTTTGCATAAAATCAAATGATTTAGCTGGTTGTCGTGCCAAGTTCATCACTGATGATCGTTATTTTTTTTGGGTAGAGCCGGGCTGTGGGGAAGAGCTGAATTATTATGCAACGGTAAACATGTTTTTCGAAGGTCGTTGAAAATGTTTTATCTTTACTGAAGCACAAGAATGGCACAGGAACAAAATTAATAACTGAGAATAAAGGCATAAAAACCTAGAAGAGATCCTTCCTAAACAATGAATGGGCGGAGCACTAGGCGAAGCTGGGGTTTGAATTTCGTAGGGGTGTAGGATTAGATGTTTACATGATACACATTGTAAAATCATGATGACATTTGTGAGCGAAAGGAGGAGGTGGAAAAGAGGGAATTCTTGGGAAAGCATACACAATTGAGCAAGACAAGAGATAGTAGGAGTAAGAGTAAGAATATCTTGGGGTAAGAGAAGAGAAAGCCGCTTATAAAGACGAGTTCGTCTAGTTACGAGCAAACATATTAACTCCGCCCTTTTTCGATCCGTTTGCCGTTGGCAATCTACGAATTTTGCTCATACCTTGACCGGGTTTGCTTGGAAAATGTTGAATTTGCTTTCATTCGACTCGAAATCAAATTTTCTATCGAATGAAAGCAAATTCAACGTTTTTCAAACAAACCCGATCCAGGTATGAGCAAAATTCGTAGATTGCTAATAGCGAACGGATCGAAAAAGGGGCGGAGTTAACATCATGATGACATCATGGCTGGTTACGAGATAACATAAAGGATCACTTTTCAAACATCTTAACCCTTTAAAAGCTTTCAGGGTCTTTTGGGCTATGTTTATCTTCCAATTAACACGATTTTCGATTGTACTGTATTCTTGATGATGCATCGGCGAATCCGAACTTTTCTCAGAGAGCCACGCCATCAAACAAGCCAACAAAAAGCGGATAATTTGCGAAAAGAATACAAATTGGCCGCTCAGGTATTCGGGGAAATTGCTGTGCGAACAACGTTTGCATGAGGCTAAATAGTCTTCCTGGCACGAGTTCAAAAAGTTTCATCTTTGTTGCCAAAATTCGGCTGTGATGCATCACGTTCCTTTCGGTTCTTTAGACCTAAAACTTACAAGTAACTCCCGGGTTTTTTGTGTAGATATTAAATTTTTATTTAATTTAGTTTTTTTCTGTGTTTTGAACAGTTTTTAATTTATTTTGAACGTGATAAACGCACTAAATTAGCTTTCTTTTCTTGGGCGCTGTTATGGAAGGACCGGCCGCTGTTATGACTGTTATGTTATGCTATATAGATTCAAAATAAGCGCTCAAACTGTATCCAAGCTTGCTCAAAATCATTTACAACTATTTCTAATCGATTCAGCGTCATCACTTACCCAGGATATCGTTTAGAAACATACAAAACTTATGAAAAAGTATATGGTTGGCCGTCGGCACTTTTTTTGAGGATACCTACTGTAAAAAGTTGTAGAAAGTTCAAGTATGTTTAAATTGAAAATGTTAAACTCACTTTAGATGATCACAAATCTGATCACCGGGCTGATTCTCACATTTTCCGTTGCCGGTTTCTCTGCCTTTTCACATACAGCATTCGCTGTTTTCATTGCCGACACGGCGCTATGGCAATTTTGCTCAATAATTTGTTGGTAAGCACTAGTTGATTCTGATTTACATCAATAATTGAGGTAAATCAGAATCAATTAGAATATTTCTTTTTGATATTTTTCAGCCTTTCTTATGCGATTCTCTTACGTGAGCGTCGAGGATCAAATCGAAGAACCATACGAATGATCTTAAAAGGAGACTCAACACGATAAAATTGGGAAAAAGTCTATAAACAGTTCGATTCCAATTCTTCTCGTCTTCACCTCATTTCACAAAAAGCAAAATAGTTTTATAGTCTACCAAGTTGTATATAGATATACATTGCTCGTAACAGGGATAACCCCACCAGTAATTTGTTCTTTCCACGAGAAGGGGTAGAAGAGTGAAGGAATGAATGGAAAGCTCATTGTGTTGGTAAGATGGAAAGAGCTTATGTTTTTCGATTCTCTTCATTTTAGATGAACACACGGATTTTGTCATTTTGATAGTCAAGCAGGAAATTTACAGTTGAATCCATCTCCTGCTGTGGCGCAGAAGAACAAATGTTCTAATAATATCGAATCTAGAATAATGTACAATGGCGGAATTTTCCTAAACGAAATTTTGAAACAAGAGTTTCAAAAATTTCACACAGATGACTGGTAGATGGACTGTGAATGCTTGGGCTTTGTGTGAACGATTGCCATTCGATCTGTGAATTTGATCTTGCCAAATTTTGAAATTCATCTGTAAGAAGTTGTTTAATTTATTATAATTTATTATATTATAAAGTTTAAATTTAACCTTTGAAGACTTCTTTATAAAACTTAATGGACTGAATTGCAAAAATATGAATATTACCACTAGCTTTTGAACCTGAAAAATGTCGAAATTATGGTTTGAGATATTGAGAAAAATAGTTGAGATATTTTGGTTTCACAACCTGTTCTTTTCTTTGTTCTTTGTCTTTTGTCTTTTGTTTTTTTGCTCTTTCATTTACATTCGAGTCTGATCGACCCCTTTTTGCCTTCCAGAAGATTGAGAATTTGATTTGGTTTCGAGAAAACAGCGATATCACAGCGAACTGGTCTTTGAATTGGTTTTCACTGAACTCACTTTTGGGCTGAGATCCTGTAGTCTAAGTATTTCGTCTTATTATAGTAGGCTGAAATATAATAACAAGTATTCAAGATGGTTAACTGGTTAACTTTAGTTAAACTGGCTGGCTGAGTTAAGTTCATTTTTTTTTCATTGAATATTGGATGTTTAACAAGTTTATAGAGAAAGATTGTTCAGGATGACTACTCCCAACATTTTTCTGTAACCAGCGATAATAAGTTTGCAAAGTTTTCCACTTCTATTCTTTTTTTCTAATTAACACAAAACATAAACGTTATAAGATGGCAAAAATAGAGAAGCAGAACTCGATGACGCGTTCTCTTTCTCCTCTTTGCGGGCTTTCTCCCTCTTCCCCTTTTTGCTCTTCTCTTCTTGGCCTTTCGATCGATATGCCCATGGCGTTCTTTCCTTTTTCCAGTCAAAGAATTTTCCTTCATATAACTTCAAATTATATTCAATATTTCTGAAGATGTCATCAAATCACCAACAATCCACCTTTCCTCTGACCCGGCTATGTGCATTCACTCGAGAATCCGTCTACTCACATGTCGTCATGGGAGAACTGTTAAAATTCCTTCATCTTTGCAAAGAAACGCGAAAATTCGTTCTGAAAAGAGGTCCCTTCAATAAATCGGTGCTGAGACTAGGACCAGCCTCTAATAGATTCGATTGGTGTTCGAGATTTGAGACTCATTGCACAAAGCTCAAGAGGTGTAAAGAACTTGGAACCAATAAAAGAAACGAACAACTCAACAAAATCGTTTCATTATCCGAACTTCTCAATTGTGAAACTGTTCATCTTGTATTTGATGAGCGATGTTTTTGTCAACTTTTACTCCTAAAAATTGTTCAAGAGCGTTATTCGAGAGCTCTATTCTTTAGCCGAACTTTTCATCTGATGGATTTCACTTCTCGGATTCATTTTATAACAAATCCAAGCAATGACAACACACTTGTTTATAGATTTGATCTATCGGACTTCAAAAAATTGTCAAATCGTTTCTTTCCGGAGATTTCCGAGCTACTCGCCATTGGTGCTTTCTATGAGTACACGAAAAGTCTAATAAAAGAGAATTCCGATAAGCGAATCGTTTTTCAATTCCCTTTAATTATCTACTATAAATGTTTCTCAAATTTGAAACTGAACTCCATGCAAAGACATACGAAAACAAAAGGTGAGCTGAAGAGTGCAATCGAGTTTGTCGTCCGAGAAGGGTTTCCCAGTGAGAACATCGATTTCTCTGGGGAAATCACCGCCAATTTTTCCCCATTTCTCACCGTTTACCGAAGCAACACTCCGTATAGAAGTGCTACTCAAGAATATGAATTATTGAAAAGTTTATTGGTGGAAAAATTTTCTCTCAAAGTTTGCCATCAAGAGGTCGATTTGTCACCGAGATTTTACAAATATTCAATCGATGGAACGAACAATGAACGCTTCAAATTTATCACATTCACTCAAAAACAAGAGACACGAATGAAAATCTTTCGATTGAATTTTTTAAAGTTTTCGGAGGAGAATCACTTCGCTATCTATTTTGAGTTCTACTATCAAAAGCCGAAGAGATCTCAAGGGATTCTCGAGACGATTCACCGCTTTCTTCCACTAATGAACTCATCATGTGATTGTTATTATATGTGAAATGTTTATGTGAATAAAACTATAACACAACTCGAAACAGCAGTGACAAGCAAAAAAGAACATTGATAAAGAGAAGTTAGCATGATTGTTGGACAAAATATTGGGCTTAATTGGACAGTTGTTGGGCTTAATGGACAAAATATTGTTCTTGGTTGCAATTCTTGTTTTTTTAGAGTTTTAAGAAAAACCAATGTTACCAGTTTCTTTTCAACAATCAAAAATTTGAAAAGCGTTTCGAATAGTGTGATCAAAATGAAATCGAAGAAATTGATTGAAATTAAAATGCAATCAGTCTTACCTTTGCGATTGAAGGCTTTCGGGGAGCTCTCAATGAAAAGAAAATCATCGTGGTGAAAGTACTCCTTCATAATCGAATTCTGAAAATGGTCTATAGCTTTTTATTACGTTTGTTTGTTATTATGCTTATTAGTTTATTAGTTTATTATTGGCTTTATTATTTTAATAATGAAACACATCAGGAAACCAAATTTTCTTACAAAATCAATAATATTGCTTTTCTCAATAGCTTTCACCACTTTATACGACCTCTCTAGGAAAAAAAATTTGAAAATCATAGTTGATTTTATGCTTCTTGAGAAATGACGTTGTGAGAACCTTCTAACAACACCGTTGTTGAAAAGGTGCAAAAGGAAAAGCATAGTTTGACTACCGTTACGAAGACATAAAAGCCAAAGACGCACAATTCGTATCTTCACAAGGCAAAACATCAAATTTGAACGAGCATCGTTTGGAGATCGAATGAAACTCGTTAATTGTCATCAATGTCAAAGATTTCTTTGAATTTTAATGATAGATTTTTGAAGTATAGTTAAAAGTTAAAAGTAAAAATTTCTATGAGAGGTAGTTTATAGTTTAAAACAAACTGCTTTTTGATAAGGAGCTTGAATTTGAAACGGAGAACAATTAACTTTGCAAATCCAAAAAAAAAGGAAAAACTAGAACGGCTGATTCGAACTAGACAGACTTTACCTTGTACTCTAACCTTTTGACCTCAAACCCCGAAACGATTAAAATGGTTTAAACCCATGCAACTTTCCCATTTCGAGAGGACTCCGGAGGGGGGTGGATCGAAATTCTTGTAAATTCCCCGTATGGTAAAAATAAAGAATCCGCGATCCTTTTGTTTCTTGAAATGAATTTCAAAAGGAAAATTAAAAAATTTAGGAACTTTTTTTTTTTTTTTTTAATTTTTGCCGGTACGAATGTGTCTTACAAGTCAGCATTTCTTGAAAAAATGCAAAAGAAAAAGTCCAATGAGAACCTACCTTGTGAGGTCTAGCTCTGGAAACGAGCTCTGTACCACTCATCCACAGCTGCACCGAACTGGGCCCGCAAAGTGGCCACTAAGACACAAATGGTCACATTTTCAGAGTTCTAACAAAACTTTAGACCTTATAACTCCTGGTAGATTGTCATTTAGCAAATTAGCAAAAACGAAATACATATTCACAGTCAGCATAAAATTCTGCGTCGAATGGTATGGGCATAGCATTTGACCGGCGCAGTCAGTTCACCTTTCCTTGTTAGTCTTATCAGTGTGTTCGCGATTCTTGGCCAATTTATAAAGACTCAAGAGAAAGGGGTGATTGTTCCTGACTTGATGGTCATGAACCATGTGTGATATTTGATGTTTCTCGCAAATGTGTTGAGCCCAAATAATTGAAAAAGCCTCTAGATCATTTTATTTCATTTTTCCGCTCGAGTTTTGAGTCGAAACTTTTTTAGTTCTGTTCAGCCCCCTAGCCCGTATTTTAAATGCAATATTTTAGGACTTCAGTTTTTTAAATACAGACTTTACTTTTTATCTAGTAATAAGAGCTAAAAGTACCAAAAGAATCAAGCAAAAGAAACTTTGATTCTTTCTTTTGAGTTAATGCATTAGCAGGTGCATTTTCAACAGTTTTCCCAAGCTTTTGCCCATTTATTGCTTCCGCCTTTGTTGCGTTAACTGATTTCCTAATTTTTGTTGCGTTAAATGATTTGTTCGTTGAATATTACTGATCAAGAGTGGAGGATATTCATTTGGTTTCTAATCGATTTTGATGATTCTGAGGTTCGTTTGTAAATGAGCGCTTTGGACTGGTACTGGACATTTACATAAACTCAAAGCTTGTTTAGGGTTTTAGTGTGTTCTGAAAATTAAACGACAATGTATGCTGATAAAGATTTTAAAAAAGCCTTTCAACACAAGACTAAACAAGTTTATCAAAATTTTAAACATATCCATTTTTAGAAATTCCCGGTCATCGGCTCGATCCTCTTCTGTTTCACGGTCTTCCAGACCGTTTTTCTCACTCTTTCACTTTTTCTGTCGATTCCCTATGTGATCGTCGTGGGGAAATGTCGAAAGTTCCACATGAATCTCACGCGCATCATTGTGTTCACAAAAATTCATCTGATTTTTATGATTGGAACCAGTTTACTCGGATTGCTCTATGTTTTCCGTTTCATCAAAAAAACTGGTGAGTGTAATTTTTACGAGGATTTATTTATATATTTAAATTCGACTGTAATTAAACGGGAAAGCTTTCAAGGAGACTGTGTTGCCGATTTTCCCTTGGTTCTTTTGGGCTACACTCGCTTCATCACCACCTGCATCAACTTCGGGTTTTTTCCGGCAATTCTTCTCGAGCGGTAAGTTGAAATTGGTGACAAAAATAGTACATTGAACTTTTCTAGGTAACATTTTATCCCTTTACAGAACTTTCTCAATTCGACACATGTGGGATTACGAAAAGAAACGACGCATCTACATAGCCAATACAATCAACGCGAACACCACGACCATTGCCATTGTTTCGGGGATATTCCTCACTGTTGGTGAGTTTTGAAAAACAAAAATAGTGAAAGTAATAAAAACTCAATAAACTCAAAAATGTAGCTATCATCAAGATCCAATCGGCGGCCGTCTTCTTTGCCCTTCCATTGTTTGTCTCTACTATGCTTTTGCTTCTCTTGGTAAAAACCCAGAAAAAACATTATAAAATTTTAGTTAAGTTTAATTGAAACTGATTTTGCCGATATTAAATTTCCTAGGCTCCATGATACAACATTTAAAAAATGAGGCTTCAAAGGAAAGCACCAGAAACTGTTTCATGATAAAAACACTTTTAGATGCATGCTTTTTAGACAAAACAATAAAATAGAAAGTTTAAATTATTATTGTATTGATGCTTGTATGAGGTTGATTTTAAATTTCTTAGGCGTTACAACTTTGGCAACTTCCCGATTGGAATTTAAAAAAAAAAACAAAAGTGGCAACGGAATTTGAGAAATTTGAGGTGTCAAACATCGGAAACTGTGTTTTCTATAAAAACACCTTCAGTGCCGCTCAAAGGTAATGCTCCCCCCTTAAACTTTTCAGATTTGTCAAACAAATGCACAGAATAATATAAAGACAAAATCTTGCTTTCTCATAAATCTGCATAAAAATTTTGGTTTCAGCTCATTTTGAATGCTTTCTAAAACATGACATATACAGAGTGGCTGAAAATTACGTGCGCGCAGCATCTGGCATAGTTTTAAACAATGTATAAAGCATTACTACTCATCTTTTTGTGTTTTAATATTCTTTTTATCGTTATCTATTAATTTTTCGTTAAAAAAGTTGTTTTCTAGGTCATGACAAAGAAGTGCGCTAGTCGGGACGCACAGCTGGCGACGAGTGGAATGAAGAACTTGTCGATCGCATCGAGGCTTGGGGGTGGCTCTGAGGACCGTCCAGAAGATCGTAAAGCAATGAAAAGAGGAGGGACATGTTCAGTCCAAGCTCGGAAGAGGACGAAAGAGGACCGTTAATTCACTTTCTCGAAACCAAAATTGGCTCTTTTTTGACGAAGGATCAATGACCTGCAAACAGCCCGGATCTCAATCCGTTGACCTTTTCGATTTGGGATTTTATGGAAGAACAATTGAGAAATAGGAAAATCAACAATTTGAATGATCTGCGTCGAGAATTGATCAAAATTTGGAACGATTTAGATGCAAATTATCTCCGCCGCACCGTCGATTCTGTAAAGAAGCGAATTGAAGCCTGTATCAAAGCGGATGGAGGCCACTTCAAAAATTTCTTGTAATTATTAAATGTTTTTGTTACAACTGTTGTATAAATGAATATTTTTACATGTTCTTTGAAAGGAAATTCAATTATGGCGTTTTCTTTGGCGCAAGTAAATTTAGTAACTGTAACCCTGTGAAAGAAAACTTAAGCTCGCTCAAAAGTAATGGTCCCCCTAAGCGTTTTTGTTGAACAACCTTCATAAATCAATTTTTTTTTCTAATTTTATAGTTTTATTTCTAGTTTATTTTGTTTTTTTTCAGATATAGGCAAGAAATATTATCCGCTTGCTGTACACAAAATTCTTCTCGATAAGGTTTCCTCTGGAATCGAATGTCAAAAGAGCGGCAAGAAGTTTTGGAATCCCATACACTACGGCAAAGCGCTGGAATCGAGCCTACAAAAAGAAAAATACTTTAGAGTCCATGTACAAGTAAGGACGCAACAAAATTACTGACGAAGGATATGACAGAAGGCTCGTTCTCGAAAGTAAATCGAATCCTCGTTTAAAAGCAAGAGAAATTCTGCAAAATACTCCACATCCCGATGGTGTGCAACCTTACATTTCTATTAGAAAGCGAAGACTTGTTGATTCTGGATTATTTGGTCGACATGGCTCAACGAAGCCGCTTATATCGAAGAAAAATCAGAAGGAGCGCTTGTTGTCAGAAGTTGGGCCAAGAATTGCCGAAATTGGAATGTGGACGATTGGGCGACACTTTTGTTTTCAGACGAAACGAAAGTCAACTTGTTTTCTTCTGACGGAATACAATGGATTCGATGACCAAAGAACACACGGGACGTTCAGACGTACAATATTCCAACAGTTAAACACGGCGGAGGCTCGGTATTTCTTTGGGGATGTTTTTCGGGTTTGGGAGTTGGTTCACTCGTACGCATAGAAGGCATAATGAATGCCGAAAAATATGTGGGTATCTTGAAAAATTATATGTTGCATTATGCTAAGCAAAATTTGCCTAATGGATGGATCTTTCAACAGGATCGCGACCCCAAACACACAGCCCAACGGACCAAAACTTGGTTCAATCAAAATCGCGTGTCCGTTCTTGAATGGCCTGCTCAGCGCCCCGATGCAAATCCTATTGAACGTATATGGAATTATTTGAAGAAGCAACGCCAAGGATATAAGGCAAAGAATTTTGATAATTTGTACCGCAAATTACAAGAAGAGTGGGCAAAAATTGATGTAGCAGCCATCAAAAACCTCAATGCCTCGGCGAGTTGAAGCTATTATTCGTGCAAAAATACAAAATATTAGTTCTTTTTTAGATTTTTGTTATATCTATAATGTTTTTGTTGAATAAATATCTTTAGGGTTCGACAACTTCTACGACATTGGCATGGGGGGCCATTACTTTTGAGCGAGCTGAAGTTTTCTTTTATATGTCACGTTTTAGAAAGCATTCGAGATGAAACCAAAATATTTATGCATTTTTATGAAAAAGCTACATTTTGTTTTTAAACATATTATTGCCTTTATTTTTTATGACAAACCTGGCCGTTTAAGGGCGGCCATTTGAGCGGCACTGTATTTAATGAAACAAAATGGACATTTCTTTTCAAAAAGACCAGTCTGCCCTACATTATAGTGGAGGGCGTTATTGGGGATATACCGAAATTGTTCCAATAGAAGCACATTTTCCAACACCCACTGAGGTGTGCTTCGATTTTTCAAATTGTCTAGAAACTCCAGGAGTAAATTGAAAGATTTCACAAATTTTCAAAATAGTTCTCGCAAGCAACCACTGCTCAAAATAGTAATTGTTTTTAAGAATTCATTTATTTCTAACAAGAAAAAATTAACAATCCGAGACGTAGGAAATGTGCGATCGACGTAGGAATCCGAGAAGAAAGTTTGTGCCATTTCATAAACTTCTGTAACCACCCTTCACTAGCCTTGAAATTGTTGTTTAATTCCTCGATCGATGACACTGATCCCAACTTCAATGCATGTTTCCGAATCGTCCGTCTTGAGGCTTTCAGTTTTGCATTCTCTGCACACGAATCCATTTGAGTAATTTGTCTTCTACTTTGTCAAATGTCTTCCGGCTCCTTTCAAACGCTTGGATTCACTAGATTGTTGCTGCTCAATTTGATCCTTTTGTTGAACTCATTGCACAATCATAGCTCGATTGACACCAAACTTCTCGCCGGCAGGCTTGTTTGAAATTTTCTTAGCGTATTCCACAGCTTTTGATTTGAAACTTCTTGTATCAGCCTTTCGTTGTCGTGAAGCTTCGAATGGCTTATCTTCGTTTTCGCTCGAAACGGCATGGTCATGGGCATCACGTCGACCTTGGCTTCCAGCTCCGTTTACCAAATTTGCATCACTGCGACTTTCGTGACCCTTTTGCAACCGATCGACTTCTCGAGCAACTTCGCGTTTTTCTTCATACCATCCGTCGAGTTCGTTTTTCCGGCGCAAGCGAAATTCCTCGAGGTCGTGTCGCCATAATCCTGCGCCACCCTGTATGTTAGCTGGTGTACGGTAGTTTTAGCGCACAATAAAAGTGATGCTTCTATTGGAGAGTGTGCTTCTATTGGAATAATTACGCTACGCTAAACGATATACGTTTTTATGAAAAACACAAAATATTCAGTCAAGTTGGTAGTGTAAATGTCCCTAGTGCAAATTCCTTGCTGCAAATGGATATACCTCCGTTTATTATAGTATTTACGATAAACTTTTAGACGTTCCTAAAACTCAAATCGATGAACGAGCGCATCCTAAGCGAACTGAAGACCCACACGACAAAATATGCTCTATCGGCTAGATATCAAGCTGCCGAGAATATTCGAGCCTTCAACGTGAGACAACCAAGCTTTTCGCTCGTTTAATTGCTGCTTTTTTAGTATTGCGATGAGTAGTTTTATTTGTGTCTTTCTAATTATTTCCATGGTTTTTGGAAATTTCTTAACTTCATTTACAGCTACCGTATTTCCTGTGATAGGAATAGGTATTATTTTTGGGTACTATTTTTGTCGATTACTCTTTAGCCGAGGTACTATTACAGGAAATACGGTATATCTGGATAAACTAGATCTACATTTCTATATCATTTTTATTTCAAAAAGTTTTGGAATAAGAAAATTCATAATAAAACATACCCAAAAACTAGGCCCGAATAATTCTTCCACTGTTACTGGATGAGTATCTTTTAGTTTATTCACTCAATCCTGTACTATATCTATTTGGCTGGCTTGGGCGGTGCTTTGGTGTTGCTCTCGGTGGTTTATTGTGCCGAGGGATCGTTGGAGGCACAAGTGTTCGGAGCGATTGCCGAGTGTTGGCTTACATTGTAGGATAGAAAATTTCGTCGATAATAGAAGCACATCTCCACTCTTTTAAAAAACAACTTTTTCTAAGGTTCTTTTTACTAAAAAATCGCTTTTTAAAAGCTCTACCTAAAGGTGAAAAGAATCTTTGAACAAGTTGACTCTAATGACTCTAATGGGGTAAATTTCCGTAAACAACTATCAACGTTAACACCGAAAATTCCGCGGTCCACTGTAGGAGTCAATTTTCTCAAATTAAGTTATGACTCTTTTTTGACCAACTTTTTAAGCCTAATTGTAAAATACTAGGCAGTTGTCTAACGAACATCAAACTTTTCCAGCGCTCCGCTCGGTCTCATCACGACGGGATTGATCTCGGTGACTGAATGGAGAAGAGATTTTCGTTTTTATCTACTCAAACTACTCGGCATTCGTGGGACACAAAGGGTTCACATGCAAACACCCCCACAACAA